TGGCCGTGTGCTCACTCAGTGGGAGAAAAACTGGGAGAAGTTTATGTGTGTGTTGACCTCACAGCTGTGTGTGTGAGTTGGTCTTTCCTATGTGTGTGTTGATCTCACGGCTGTGTGTGTGAGTTTGTCCTCCCACCCTGCATCTCAGTGTCTGGTCCTGTAAAACAGGAGGGTGACACAGATAGACCTTGCAGGGCAGGGAGGACTCGTGGAGGTCACACTCCTACCAACACTCAGCAAATGCACACCTTCTCCCTGCCATCTTCCCCGTCCCCCCTTCCTCTCCCCTATCCCAGAAGCAGCTGTTGCGGCCTCAGAACCAGCTGAATTTTCTCACCTCAGCCATCCCAGAAGTCAGTTTTGATAGGAGCTGTCCACCTTGGTTCTTCTGAAATAGGGTCTCTCTTTGGCTTGGGCCTCTTCTGTTAGGCTAGGCTCTCTGGTCAACACGCTCAGGGGCCTACCTGTCTCGGTCTCCCTATCGCCGGGATTACATGTGTGGGTTCTGGGGATCAAGCTCAGGTCCTTGGCTTTACCTACTTAGCCATCTCCCCAGTTTCCCATATTTTTCAAGATTTTTTTCAAATGATGACATACCTGTAAAAGAGTCCACCTCATCGGGGCAGGACACAGCGGCCATCTGTGTCATCAACTCCCAGATGCAAATATGGAGAATAACCCAAGCCTCTGGCGTTCTTCCTCCCAATACACCTTCTCACACACAGACATACACAGACACTGACCACACACGAGAGAGAGAGAGAGAGAGAGAGAGAGAGAGAGAGAGAGAGGTGCACAGACATACAGACAGACAAGCACGCCCAGACACACACACACACACACATGAGAGACACACACACACACACAGACATACAAACAGACAAGCACACCCCTCACACACACACAAGAGAGAGTGAGCACAGACATACAGACAGACAAGCACGCCCAGACACACACACGAGAGAGAGACAGACAGACATACAGACAGACAAGCACACAACCCCCCCCAACACACACACGAGAGAGAGAGAGAGGTGCACAGACATACAGACAGACAAGCACACCCAGACACACACACACAGAGACACACACAGACGCTGCTGCTGGCATCTAACATACAGGCCCGTGGTAGACTCTTCCAGCAATCTTAAGAGACCAGCTCCCACCCTGTAAGTCTCATCCTGCCTTGGGCCACTTATTTCACACAGTGCAATGCGACAATATTTCGTCGTGTGGCTTTATTCATAGTGTCCCCGGTTTCTGTTAATGAACACAGGTTGTTTCTTAGCTCCCGCTGCTATAACAAAGTGCCACGGACCAGGTGGCTTGTAATGATCAGAAACTTTTGTCTGTCTGGAGGCTCAAGGCTGAGACTAAGGGACCAGCACAGGGCAGCTTTGGCAAGGACTCCTCATGTTGCAGAAGGCCACCTTCACACTGTGTTCTTGCACGGACTAAATGACTTTCTGGGCGAACTTCTCTTAGGGTCCTGTCATCATCCAGTCACCTCTGTTGGCTGACGCCTCTGCCTGCCATCGCATGTGGGAGCAAGGACATGGGTGTGAGAACCAGACAGAGACTCTTACAGATTGCTCCCAGTAGTAGAATTTTATGAGGTTGTAGTCTGAGGGTAAATGTGGATATGTGTGGTTGCTGGGCATGTATCCAGGCATTATCTGTGTACTTGGCTTTGAAGATGACCTAACCCTTTCATGGCTGCACCAGTGTCTACTCTGGTCAGGAGTGGTGGGCATGTATCCAGGTGGGCATGTATCCAGGCATTATCTGTGTACTTGGCTTTGAAGATGACCTAACCTTTTCATGGCTGCACCAGTGTCTACTCTGGTCAGGAGTGGTACTTTGTCAGCAACCCCAGAGAACATGAAAAGACAGGGAGCAGACACTGTCCATGGCGGCCAGGAAGGCGTATGAACAAAGATAGGGTTTCGCATGGTCACCCCGAGCCGTAGATGCTGGCAGTCTTGGAGCCTGGTCAGTTATTTGCTCTTCTGTGTGCACTAGGGAGAGCTCTGGTCTGGAATGAGTGTAGGTGGCCGCTCGAGAGCGAGGTGTCCAGGGGAGAGAATCCACCCACAGTCTTCCATCTCTGATCCTTAAGTGTCAACAGAGCAAAATTGTCTGCTCCACCCGCCCTTCCTCCACCTCTGCTGCATAGGCTTGGCGAACTCGCCGCTGTGCAGCAAAGAGGGGGCAGCCTTGAGTCATCTTAGACTGCCTCCTGCCCCTGCACTGGCTGGGCGACCTTGGAGGAGTGAGTCAACCTCCTGTGAGTCAGCTGCTCTGGGAACCTCGCCCTGTGCAGGTGAAGAAACAAAGATCATGGCTCTAGGCAGCATTTGGGATGGTGGATGGATGGATAGATGGATGGTGGATGGATGGATGGATGGATGGACGGACGGACAGACAGGTGGATGGGATGGATGGATGGGTGGATGGATGAATGGGATGGATGGACGGACGGACAAACGGATGGATGGACAGATGGACACACTGGAGAGATTGGTTGGTAGGTGGGTGGGCAGGCAGAAGTGATACACAGATAAATACGTCATTCCTCCATCGACATATGTGCATGTCCACCGTTTTATTGACTGCAAGGGCCATGAGACCTACTGTGCGCGGTGCAGGGAATCGTGCCTGCGTTTTTACATGCCTGAGTTCTGGTGAGGCAGGAAGGGTCACCCCCACTTTATAATGCAGAAGCTAACATATGTGTCAGGAGTACTCAGGGTTATATGGCTGCTATGTGCCGAATCAGGAGGCTCATTCCACAGGGTCTGACTCTTCTCCCCTAACCAGTGGGGCTGCCAGACGCTGAGATGGACTCTTACTGCATTCAGTCCGTATTTTGATGTACAATGTAGGCTTGTTCTGATCTATAAGGAGGCTCCAGGCCAGGGAGACTGAGTAACCCTTCCCAAGACATTACAGTAAGCAAGACTCAGAGCTAGGATTTGAACTGGGGTCCTCCGATACCAGCACTCTTGTTTCTACCCCAGGAACACAAGTCCAGCCTGAAACAAAGGCTGAGCAAACACCAGAGGAGGAAACATCATGCCCGGAGCACTTTAGCAATAAAGCTATAAATTAAAAGAAATGCATCCAAGCTGTAAATTTTATAGAGATGGAAAATTAATTATCATAATGACTTCCATACTTCTTTTAGGCAATGCTGCCTGCTGGGGACTGGGGATGCTCTAGTGACTACAGAATTAACTCTTTCGTTCATTCACTTCACTCATTCATTCCCTTGGGGATTCTTCACAGCACCTGTTCGGTGTATGTCAGGAGATAGCTCGCCAGCAAGGTTGAGACGGAGGAGCAGGCAGGCTGCAGAGTGAATAGGTATTGCGCCCCCTCCCTCCCCGCAGTGTCCTTCCCTCCCATCATTCATCTTAAACTACCAGTCCTAGAAGTAAACTCAGAGAGCCTGCAAATGGGTTGAGCACCCTCCATCCAGACAGGTGCCTGATTGGTGGCTTTGTTCTCTTGACACGCCCCCCATGAAAAGACTGAATGGGCCTTTTGCCTGCTGCTAGGTGCACCGCAGCCCAGCCCTGGTTTTACAGTCCCCACCCGGAGACTCCTGTCTGGGACAGATGGCAGACAGTGCCGTCTCAGTGGTGTCTGAGGGAGGGCCCAGAAGTTATTGGTTTGTGACAGTTCTCCTTTGAGATGCTGGATTGGAGCCAGGCACGATGGCACAGGCCTGTAGTCCCAGCAGCAAGGAGGCTGAGCGGGAGGACGTGAGCAAGGCCAGCATAAGCTATGTAGTGAGTTCCAGGATAGCCTGAGCTATGTAGTGAGTTCCAGGATAGCCTGAGCTATGTAGTGAGTTCCAGGATAGCCTGAGCTATGTAGTGAGTTCCAGGATAGCCTGAGCTATGTAGTGAGGTCCTGGATAGCCTGAGCTATATAGTGAGTTCCAGGATAGCCTGAGCTATGTAGTGAGAGTCTGTCTCCGGAAGGGTGAGGGACACGGAGATGTTACTCATTTGTTTCAGTGCCAGCCTTAGAAGCTTGAAGGCCTGAGTTCAACCCCCTAGAACGATGAAAAAAAAGAAGATGTGTATAATTTCAGCACTAGGAAGGCAGAAAAGCATCCTGGGACTTACCAATCAGTCAGTCTAACCTACTGAGTGAGTCTCAACTTAGTGAAATCCTACCTCAACAACAACAACCACAAAAGCAAAGTGGGCGGCACCCGGGGAATGACGGCCAAAGTTGTCGTCTGGCCTTCATGTGCGTGTGCACCTGTGAACACACACATGCAACTGCCTGCACACACATAAGATGCATGCACTGTATGCACACACACACGGGGAGAGAGAAAGAGACCCTATGCTGAGGGACATGGCAGGCCCACTGTCTTACCCTCTGCTCTGTCACTGTGAAGCGACACCATAACCAAGGCAATTATCACAAGAGAAAGCCTTTAACTGGGGGCACGCTTGTGGTTTCAGAGGTTCAGTTATTGTCATCATGGAGGAGAGCATGACAGCATGCAGGCACGCACTGGAGTGACAGCTGAGGACTACATCCTGATCCATAGGTAGAGCAGGGTGGGGCCGGGCTGGGCCTGGCAGGGGCTTTTGAAACCTCAGAGCCTACCTCCAGTGAGAGACTTCCTCCTACAAGGCCACACCTCCTCATCCCTCTAAGGCTTTTGGGTGACTAAGCATTCAAATCTATGAGGGGCCATTCTCCTTGACAGCACCACAGACAGCGCTGGACCTGGCTGTATCTGCAGGTGTCTACATGGCGGGAAGTATCTGATCTTCTTAAAGAATCTACAAAGGCCTCTTTGCAGATTGTCACCCAGAACCAGCTCTGGGGTTTGATGCAAGGCCTGTCAGTGTCACATGGGTGTCATGGTGACATATCCTCTCAGCTCTTCATGACTCTGATGACTGTTGTGGGCCACCTTCCTCCCCACTGCCATTCATTTCCCTGAGTGACCTTGTTCTTTTGCCTTGCAGCCTCTGTAAGGGTCGGACTCTCTACTCTGTGGTGAGGGATGCCAAGATTGTCCTGGATGTCAACAAAACCAGGCAGATCGCACAAGAAATTGTGAAGGTACCATGAGTTCTGGGACCCCTACCTGGGCCTTACAGAGACCCAGCCTCCTCTGGAAGTCCTGTCACAGGATCCTAAGACCCAGGGTCTGGGTTTAGACCACTAGTCTGGACCTTAAAGACATTAGTTTTAGCCCAAAAAAATACCAGGTGGTATGTACAATGAATCTGTCAAGTGCAAGCCTGAGAAATTACTGCCTCAAACTTTGTTTTCTGGCTGGTACTGCATGGTCATGATACCTGGGTACAGGCAGAGGCCAGTGGGTACAGAAAGTCACTCAGTTCCTTGGGAAGTGTATCAGAAACTTCTGGGTCACTCTGCTAGAAGCAGCTGAAAGGAGGGGAGTTGGGGCACAGCAGCCCAGTTCATGATGACAGGAATCTGAATCAGAGATGGTTCACAGGAGTTCAGGAGGCAAAAAGTGAGACCGGAAATGGCCAGGGTTAACGTTCCCCCAAAGGCCTGCCCCCAGTGACCTACTTTCTCCAGTAGGCTCCACCTCTCAAGACCTTCTAAAGCAGTACCACCGATTAGGTACCAAACATTCAAAATATACATCAATGCAGGACATTTAAGATTCAAATCATCACCATTAGGAACTGGTATACTCGAGTCCTGGAATTCCCTTGTAATCTTGTCTCTCCGCTGCCTGGGATACGTGGAGCTATTGTCTTAGATGAAGATGTCCTGAGTGTCCCGACAGGTGCCTCATTGGTGTGTTGTGCTCAGGCTTCAGTTCCAATCAGAAGTGGTAGGAGTGATCCGTGGAAATAATAAAGACACGGCAATCACTCGCCAAGGCCAAAAGATGTGAAAACCACCTCTAAATCGCTGGTAGATGTCCCTGTGTGTTCTTGATGTGGGGTCGTGAAATGCCTCCTAAGTATCTCAGGTCCTTCCACAGGGTGGTGGGCCGGGTAACACAGACAGCAAGGCCCCTTCATAAAAGAAATGAGGGAAAATGACTGGTGGATTCCTTTTTCTGGTATCCCTAGCCTTGATGGTGTCCCCACTCGTTCCCCCTGGGGCAGTTCCTTTATTCTTCAGGAAGCAGAGTGGTTCTGTGGAGATGGCTTTGCAGAGGTCTGTGGGGGATAGTGGCCTTGTGACTCACAGAGCCTTTGTCCCCTGAGCTCCATGGTGGGGGGGACCCTGTACTCTGCCACTCTTGAGGATCCAAGGGAAGGCGACAAGGAAGTACTGGGTCATCTCTAATGCGTCCTCATCTCCTCATCTCTTACAGGGCATGGGCTACCTCCATGCCAAGGGCATCCTTCACAAGGACCTCAAATCAAAGAATGTTTTCTATGACAACGGTAAAGTGGTCATCACGGACTTTGGGCTCTTCAGCATTTCTGGGGTACTACAGGCTGGCAGGTAAGAGGTGACAGAGGGGACCAGAGGGATTCTTGATAAGTGACCGTCAAGGGGTAGAAGCTCATCCCAAATGTCTTGAGTGACTTTATCTGTGAGCTCACAGGTGTTAAGATTGTGGCTAGGCTGCCATGCCAGCAGGGGGTCACCAAGTCCCTCTCTATTCCCATGACCTTAGTGTCTTTCTCGCTTGTCCTGAAAGTGACACCTTTGAGTTTGTGGCATGAGATCTAACACAACCCCGACTCTCACAAGCTCTTGCCCTGGGCTTGAGGACTCTCCTCCTTGCCTATGGGGCTTCCCTAGGGAATGGGTCAGCCAAGCCCTAAGCTCCAAGCTGTCGTAGTAATTAACTTTAGCCTAGCAACCAAACACAGCTGATAGTAAGTGCTTTTAGGTCAGACTACCTGGGCCATGTGGGGGCCCACCCATTCTTTTTTTTTTTTTAAATTTATTTATTTATTAAGGATTTCTGCCTCGTCCCCACAACCGCTTCCCATTTCCCTCCCCCTCCCCCGATCAAGTCCCCCCCCCTCATCTGCTCGAAGAGCAATCAGGGTTCCCTGACCTGTGGGAAGCCCAAGGACTGCCCACCAATATCCAGGTCTCGTAAGGTGAGCATTCAAACTGCCTAGGCTCCCACAAAGCCAGTACGTGCAGTAGGATCAATTCTTAACTGTGACTGTGACCAAGACCAGCAGTACCTCTGAACTCGAGTTTTTGTGTTTGAAAACGCCTCAGTTGGACGGTCCTTATGAAGATAAAACACGAGGATACAGGACAAGCATCCCGCACAGGACCCTGAGTGGCATCAAACATGGGGCAAATAGCTGGACTGCTGTGGTGTAATTAGCACTCATTTCCATACACCTCCCCAGGATCACCCAGGGAACGATTAACCATCTTTAAGTAATTAACTCTCAGAGGCCACTCGCCCTGGAGCCAGCCGCGTTGAGTCAGCCATGCGAGAAACAGCTTGATCCCGAATAAATAGTCTGTAACTCGGAAGGTCTGCTCTCGTGGATTTTGATTTGGAGAGTGTGCTGTGTCCACACGCAGGGCACACATATCTCAAACCCCTGCGTCAAATAACGAATGGCCTCTCTCACGGGGAGACAGCGCTGAGACTTCTCTCGTGTTTACGTTTCTGCATTTCTGGAGAGCCACTGATTTCTTTGAGGGACATCCTCCTGACTTCCTGAAGGACTTTATCCCTTCTGTGAGCTACCTTTGAATTTGAGTCAGAGTGCTTGAAACTCAACAAAACATGGCATAAGCTGTTTCTGAGCAGCCTTGGTTACTGTCTTCAGGTGTCATCCCCCCATCCAAACTGGATGTCCCCAGTTTCTAGAGCTATCTGTGGCATTAGATAAGTCAAGGCAAACAAACAGATAGTGTAATAGATACCTGGAGAGCGCTAGTCCGTGAAGGAGCTGGGGGATCAAGACTGGGTAGGACTCCTTTGCTCGGTCCCACAGCAGTCCCAAGGTCCCTGGCTTGCCACAGAGAATCATATTCACCTTGTTTGCCAGGACCAGGTCAGAGCAGGCTTAGGGACACAATTGGTGATGTCACTGCAAATCCAAGTATTTACATGGGTCTCATGGAGGCTGAGTAAGTATTAACTTGATTTTGGGCTGGTCAGAAATCTCTCGCTCCTGGTGACCAGCAATGTTAGTGAGTTCCTCATGGTGAACAAAATACCAAACATAGACTCACAGCTTGAGGGAGGAAAGATTTAGCATGGCTCATAGATTCTTGGATTCAGCATGGCTTCTTGATTCCATGGACTTTGGCAGGCATCATGGAAGCAGGGCCCATGTAGAAGAGGAAGTTCTTCACCTCATGGCTGACAGGAAGTGGATAGTGAGGGACAAGAAGTAGCCAGGGACAAGACACCCTTAGAGAATCACACCACCCTGTGACTGACTTCCTCCAGCTATGCTCTGTCCAGCTGAACCTCCCGAATAGAACCACTAGCTGGGGACTGAGCCCCCAAGTGAGCCTTTGGGGACCACTTCACAATTAAAATGTAACACCTATCTATATCTGCTGGCTGTCCTCGCTGTGAAAGGCAAGGGCAGGAGTCTATGACTATATTCCCTACTCGGTTGTATTGCTGAGGCCAGGGAGTTGAACTTACAGGCAGCTGTACATCCTTCTCAGGAGTGAGGCCTAAGATCCCCAGTCTGTGCCTCCATCGAGCCCGCCAAGACATGGCCACTGAGAGGTTCATAGGGCAGTCACCAACTGGGGTTACCATAACAAGGTAGTGGGGTGTGGGGGTGCTGATGCAGCGCACCAGTAATATTTTATCTAGTTCTGGGGCTTCAGGGTCAAGGCCCGGCTGACCCTTTCTGCAGAGAGTTTTGTTCCAGGCTTATAGATGACCCTCTTCTAACTATGTCCTTGCATGGTCTCTCAGGTAGATGTGGGAGGGGAAGAGAAAAGCTGGGAGGAGAGAATGAAGGAGTGGAAAAAGTGACAAAATTCTCACGTCTGGCCTGCTTCCATGCTGGCTTGTTCTGTGTCTACTTGACACAGCTGGACTCGTCAGAGAGAAGGGAGCCTCAGCTGAGAAAATGTCTCCATAAGATGGGCTATAGGCACACCTATAGGGGATTGTCTTAATTAGTAATTGTTGGGGGAGGGCCCAGCCCACTGTGGGTGGGGCCATCCCTGGGCTGTGGTTCTGGGTTCTTTAAAAAAGCAGGCTGAGCCAGCCTTGGGAACAAGCCAGTAAGCAGCACCCTCCATGGCCTCTGCATCAGCTCCTGCCTCCAGGTTCCTGCCCTGCTTGAGTTCCTGTCCTGACTTCCTTTGATGATGAACAGTGACAGGAAGTATAAGTGAACTCTTTCCTCCCCACATTGCTTTTGGTCATGGCTTTTCATCACAGCCATAGTAAACCTGACCAGGACAGAAATTGGTGCCATTTTCTGAGGAATGTGAAGTAGGGTCCCACCCTGAGGTAACCTCAGGCCTTTCTTTAACTCTTTTATCTCCTTGACCACAGGACTTGGTTCCATTACATGCCCTAGTGCTCCTTTTCTCCTCAGACTGTCCACTTTGAGGTTCTCCCTGTCCAGCTTGCTCCTTTTCATTGTAGAGCTGCTAGATATCTCAAAGCCATTAATCCAAAACCCTTCGATTTAGCCCAGGCAGATTTTTAGGAGGACTAAAAGTAACCACATGCCTTGCCAGACTGTTGCAATGATAGTCTCCAGTCCAGTGGCTGGTATCCTTCCCCTCCAGAACTGGTTGAGCTGGGCTCCCACAGGTCAAGCCTCCTTCAGCACTGTCTTCCATGCTCCTACTAGGATGGCTCATTAGCCCCTCTTAGCACGCCCAACCACTCTCTAGTTCCAAAGTCCTCCATGTTCCTCCAACACACAGCACGGTCAGGCCTGACAGCAATACCACAGTCCTTGTCTGTCCTAGTCGCTGTTCTACTGCTGTGAAGAGACACCATGATCAAGGTGACTCTTACAAAAGAAAGCGTTTGGTTGAGGGCTTGCTTACAGTTTCAGAGGCTTAGTCTTTTATCACCATGGCAGGGAGCATGGTGGTACACGTGGCATTGGAGAAGTAGCTGAGCTACATCCTGATCTACAGCTGCCTGCAGCAAGACACTGAGCCTGGTGTGAGCTTTTGAAACCTCAAAGTCCACCCCCAGTGACACACTTTCTCTAACAAGGCCACACCTCCTGATCCTGCTAGTCCTTTAAATAGTTCCACTCCCTAGTGACTAGACCTTCAGATATATGAGTCTGTGGAGGCCATTCCTATTCAAACCAGCAGTTTCTAAGTATGACAGTCCCATTGCTTAGGGCCGTGGATTTAGGCCTTGTTTCATCTTAATTATCTCTCTAAAACTCCCATCTTTATCATACATATATATTTATTATATATGTATATATACTATTTTATTATATATGTAAAACTGTCATACAGTAGAGTGTGTGTGTGCATGTGTGTGTATGTCTATCTATGTATATATACATGCTAGTAAGATGGCCAAGCCTAATGGCCTGAGTTTAGCCCCTGGGATCCACATGATAGAAAAAGAGAACCAACTGCCACAAGATGCTGTCTGACTTACACACACACTCCCACAAATAAATTAATAAATGTAATCTCAAAAGTTTAAAAGTTAGCATGTAAGACAGAATAAATTACTGGCGTATATCCATTGCACCAAATGATGGTTTTTGTATGGTATTTACTCACCTTTGTATCGTGAGCTTTGCCCAGTTAGCTGCCTCCTCACTTCTTTTGGTGTCTCCCTTCTTTCTGGCCCATTCTCTCTCCCCAGTAGACCCTCCTTCTGCTTCTATGTCATATAAACTAAATCCTGAGCCCACAAGTCCTGCCTTTAGTGACGGTGACATTGAGAGTCCAGATTTTAGCATGAGAATCTGGGGGACAATCCCAGTCCATAACACTGCAAGATAGATGATAGGGACTGAGCTCACTGCGCATGTGCCTGACCCTGTAGAGCGGGTGGAGCTGTGGTAACGGGCCTGCAGACAGGGAAGTAACATCCTTGAAATAACAGTCCCAGGATGTCAGACTCCCCAAGGCTGCTGTTTCCCAGAACACACCACTGGACTGGAAGCGAAGAGGTAGCCGTGGAGATCCTCACAAACAGCTGCTCTGCCACCCTCACGACAAAGTGTCGTTTAAGATGCCAGCCCTACCGTGCCAGCCCCAAACAACCTGTTATTAATCATAATAATAACCATAATGAGGATGATTTGGACTCGTCATTGGTGGGCCCGCTGCCATGGGAACGGGACACCCTGGGGTGTATGCACCAGGGCCCGACTCCTAACCCTCTCCCAGCCAGGTGCCTACCCCAGCCCCGGGCTAATGGCACTTATGTGTCTGCCACACCCTCCCCTGTCCCAGAGGTTCCCAGCTTGTCGGTCCCTGTGAGGAGTGGCCTTGTCTGGGAAAGGTTGGCTAACCCCCACTAAGTTCCTCATTGTGCAGTAAGTAGACTTCCCTACTTTGGCCTCAGTCCTCCAGATAAACAGATATGCATATGGGATGTAGTGTCAAGTAATTCCTATCCAGTAGTCATATGGCCCTGGCAGTAGACATAGCCCTAAACTGGACACTTTCATGTTGCTGTAGCCATCTGAGGTACAAATGAATGTGCCCTTTTGGCAGATGGAAAAATAGAGACCAGAGTGTGCCCGAGGCCTCACAGCTAACAAGCAGCAAATGAGTCTTTACGTCCTTAAATGTCAGTGGGTGTTCTTGATCCCAGGAGAAAGATGCCATCAACTCTGCCAACCTCAGGGTTTGCTAAAGTGTCTGGGCCCTGTGTACCAGCAGAGGACATAAACTACCACGTTGTTTATTCCCGGTAGAGGAGACGTTCTCGACCCCGGAATCCAGGCCGTTCTCTTCTCTAATGTGTATTAAATGAAAAACTTTTCCTTCTCATGGGTATGGAGGCATTCCTCCTAGCTACAGCTAGGGTTGTGTGTGTGTGTGCACGCATGTGCGTGTGCATGCATGCGTGTGCGTGCATATGTGTGTGTGCATGTGTGTGCGCATGTGTGCACACATGTGCTTGTGTGTGTGTGCACGCACGTGCGTGTGTGTCTGTGTGCATGTACATGTGTGTGTGCATGTGTGTGTTCCCAGCAACTACTGTGTAGATGCCAGGGATGCCACAAAACATGGTACAAACACAGAATAGCCCAACCTGACATAACACCGAGGATGAAAAGCCCCAAGTTAGAATAGATTTCACAGTGGCCACTGACTGTGTCTGGCTCCTGGTGTAGAAATCTAGGCAGTGGACAGATGGCCCCGATGTTGGATGGAGAGGCACCCCAGGAGAGCCCCCACACACAGTGAGGGCGGAAGCTCAGTGATCCCCCATCTCAGCCTCCTCCCTTCAGCCCCTGTCTAGGGATCTCTCAATACCTGTGTTTATCCAGATGGATGGTGTGTACCCTCTGGAAAATAAGAATGACTTGGAGAACTGCAGGTCTAGCATTTCTCTAGCTTCCTTCACCTACATAGGAAATGCGTCAGCAGTGGAACCCTGAACCCCCAAACTCCTGCCACCTCATTAGGACTTCTTTCCTTTAGGCCCAGGGTTTCTGAGAGTGTAAGCTGTGAGCGGATTTTAAGGAGAGAACGGACAAGCACTCTCTGTCTTCATTTTAATGTGCATTGGAAAAATACTAGTTTCTATTTATAACTGTGCTAAAAGTCACTTATTAAAATATATTTAAGTTTCTTTTTAAAAAAATTGGTTTTAGTAAATCATTATCTAGATCTGGGCCACTGGCCAGACAGATGTATCTATGCAGATTTAACTTTAATTAAAGTGGAATCAGGGTCTGTGAGATGGCTCAGTGGGTACATGCACTTGCTACCAAGCCTCACGACCTGAGTTTGATCCCTGTGGCTGTCATGCTAGAGGAGATAATGACTCCCAAAAGTCATCCTCTGACCAACAACCACATAAGTTCTGTGGTGTGTGTGTGTGTATGTGTGTGTGTGTGTGTGTGTGTGTGTGTGTGTGTGAGAGAGAGAGAGAGAGAGAGAGAGAGAGAGAGAGACTAAATATAGTTAAAAAAATCAAAGTGGGATTAAATTTAGAGTTCAGTCCCTGGGGCTGGTGAGATGGGTCAGCAAATAAATGTGGCCTAAAGACCCAAGTTCAGTCCGTAGGACGTGGAAGAAGGAAACCAGTTTCTGCAGATTGTCCTCTGACTTCTAGGCATAGCTCAAGAGCACACAAACTCTCTATGTGTCTGTCTGTATGTCTCTGTGTATGTATGTATGTATGTATGTATCTATCTATCTATCTATCTATCTATCAGCCCTTTGGTCATAGTGTCCACCTTTAAAGAGCGAGACAGTCACAGAAATTGGTGGCTGGCACATTTGAGAGACAAGATAGAAAAACGCCATCCCTGAAGATGTTCAGACATGGGGGAAGTCATGATGGGGAGGGTCTGACTGAGTGCCCTAGAAGGACCAGCGCACACACCTCATAGAGCTGGGAAGCCCGCCTGGAAGAGCTGTAGGATGCAGCCAGCCCAGTTCCCCCAGAGACTGTCTGGGAAATCTTGTCCTGCTGTCAACCGTGAAGTACCTGTCTCTTACTCATGCCCCTTGGCTAACAGCCCCTTCTCCTAGTCTTTGCTATGCCAGACTTTGTTGACTCCCAATGGGAAGCCTTACCCCCTCTGAAGAGTGGTTGGGGCAGGGAGGGAAGGTGGAGGGAGCAGGAGGAGGGAAGGGAGTGGGAACTGGGATTGGTTTGTAAAATGAGAAAAGATTGTTTTTTAAAAAAAAAAAATTAAAAAAAAATACAAAAAAAAGAAGGAAAGAAAGAAGGAAAGAAAGAAAGAAAGAAAGAGAGAAAGAGAGAAAGAGAGAGAAAGAAAGCTTTATGCAAGGGCCACTTAGTCATCTGTCCCCAGGGGAGGACTCTGATCTGCTGCAAGGTGTTGGAGCAACCTTGCTTTCCTCCTCCTCTGGCCTTTACCCCGGGAACAGCGGCAGATATACATAAGGACAGTGACAGCATTTACCCACAGATACTCAGTGCACTCTTGTTTCTAATGGGGGAAAGTACAGAGCCCGCCTACCAGAATCCGTGTTCAAACACAGGGTACATGTTGCCTTCCTATGCACTGCTGTATCTTGGTTTCTAGAACCCTCCTAAGGTCACCTCCATGGGTTCTGACCTAGCTTTCCCTCTGGCTAGGATATTCCTTTTGTTCCCATGGTGGGGTTCTCTGCCACATAAAGCTTGTCTCAAATGTGTCCTCAGCCTGGACACGTGCCTCTGTTGTGATTCTTTGTGTGATGTTTGCCACTGTGTGGCCTTTTTCCTGTTTGCATCATCCTCAGTGGCTTTTTTCCCCTGTCAGTCTTGTTCACAATTGCAGATCCGGTGCCAGGAATCTACTAGAATGGACTATTTGGGGGACTTGAGGCATTAAACTTTGAGATCTTGCATAGTTCCTGACTTAGGGTTTCTTTTGCTGCAATCAAACACCATGACCAAAGAGCAAGTTGGGGAGGAAAGGGTTTATTTGGCTTGCACTTCCTAATCACTGTTTATCACTGAAGGAAGTCAGGGCAGGAACTCAAGCAGGGCAGGAGCCTGGAGGCAGGAGTTGATGCAGAGGCCATGGAGGGGCACTGCTTACTGGCTTGCTCCTTATGGCTTGCTCAGCCTGCTTTTATAGTACCTGGGACCAGCAGCTTAAGGATGGCACCACCCAACATGGCCTGGGCCCTCCCCCATTGATCACTAAATGAGAAAATGCCCTACAGCTGAATCTCCTGGAGGCATTTTCTCGATTGAGGCTCCTTCCTCTCTGATGGCTCTAGCCTGTGTGAAGTTGACGCACAAAACTACCCAGCACAGCTCCTCTAGAGGCAACCTTAGACTGCAGAGCACAACGTGTAGGAACAAGAATGGACAGTATCCAGCGAAGATGAGCAAGAGGTCCCAGAGACTGTGGACCCGAGGGTGGCTTGGGCTGGTTTCCATCATTTCTTTCCCTGCACCTCGGTCTGGCTCTCAGCCTCATATGAAGGGCCAGGGAATGCCCAGGGAGGAGGGTAGGGAATCGGAACCTGGGGTCACTGCTACAAAACAAGGCTCTCCGGGGCTTTGCCTCTGCAGGCGAGAAGATAAGCTGCGTATCCAGAATGGCTGGCTGTGTCACCTGGCCCCAGAGATCATCCGCCAGCTGTCCCCTGACACAGAAGAGGACAAGCTCCCCTTCTCCAAGCACTCAGATGTCTTTGCGCTCGGGTAAGTGGGCCGCACCCCGGCCTTTGACCTCCACAGTGTGGGTAGAGCCACTACCTAGTGTCACCTTTGGAAGAGTCAGGGCACATGTTGGTAAGGGCAAGGTGGTGGGATTTATGGATGAATTTGGGAGACCTGGGGATGTAGTAGAAAGAATGACTGTTGCACACTCGTATGCCTGGTTTCAGTTATGAGACCATGGCAAGTTTCCCTACTCATTCACTGTTCTTTCATTCCTTCATTTGTTCATTGTATACCAACTCATTGTTGCAGTGTTCATTGTGTATCGCATGCCCGTGAGCCACTTCCAAGGTGGCTGCCCATGATCATTCCACTGTGGAAAGCCGTCTACCCTGCTACGTGGAGGCGCTCCAGTGAGCTCCCAACATGGCAGCTAAGAGCCTTGTTGCAGATATGAGCTGAGCCTGAGCGTTAGACAGCATCGCTCCCGCCATGTTGTTTTTTTAAGTTTTCTTTTTGAATGATGTATTTACATGTAACAAGATACTTTGACAGGTGTGTACTTTACATAATGATGGAAACCCAGGCAATACACACCTCTGTATGCAACTTTCATTGAGTTCAGAAGGGTTCACAAGTATCCTGAGTAGGAGCGGCTACAGTTCCGTGGAATGTGCAGTCTCCTTCTGACATATGCGCCCTGTAGGCAAGCCGCTAAGTGTAGATGGCCCTCAAGGACAGGAGATAGAATCTCTGCTGTTTTCAGGAAGGAAGGAGCTTCAGAACTGTTTTGACTGCTGCTTTTCCAGCTCCTGGGACTGAGACCCAGGGACTTGTGTGTGCCAGGCTAGTGCTAAGCTTCTGAGCTGCCTTGGCCTCAATGCTCACTCCACTCCGCCTTGTGGAGAGATGCTGCACTTGGGATGAAGGCAGGACTCTGGGGGTAAAAAAGAATGCAGGTACCAGCCTGGGAGGCGAGGGAGAGCCTCCAGCAGGAAGTGACTGGAAGCTGGAGTCGGAGATTAGATACAGGGAGACAGGTACTCCAGAGGGAAGGTAAGTCATCTACAATGGAGGACTATGTAGCCATGGGGAAGGTACTGATGGATAAAGATTCAGGTTGGGAATAGGGCTTGGGTGAGACACTAAGGAAGAAAGCAGTGTCCAGCCTTTGTAGACTTAATGGTGGCATGAAGGAGTTTTATCTTCAAGGCACTAGGGAGCCATGGGTGGCCACGGACCGGCTCAGGGGAGCCACTCAGACCGTGGGAGAAGCAGGGTCCTGGTAACAGGAAGGCACAAGTTCGGCGAATGACAGACAGACACAACACACAAGAGAGTGGTTGGAATCTGCTGCGATTTTACTGAATTCATGTTTTCATTAATATAGTATTCAAACAAAGAACAAATCAGAAAGTCATGTGTCATTGGTTGGCACAGTATGAAAGCTTCTTTTAGTCACATCAGCAATATTTAAGAAAAGTACATTATCAGGAACAGGTGTTAGACATAAAGCATCCTTAGAAGAGGAAATCTTGTCCTTGGGACTGTAAACCTCAGACAAGTGGTTTCATCTTATGAATAGAAATTTTCTGTCTCATTATCGCTATCATGGCCCTTCCTCTTCCTAACCCTTTATTTCATCTAGTGACCAAATATACCTACCTAATCAGTTCTCTGCACCTGCTGAAATATACGTTTTAGTACCTTCTTATGCAGCAGACATCATGGGGGTTAGGATTTAGCAAGCCTATTCATAAGTTCAAAGTATAATATAACAGTCTTTGTCCATCAACATTAACCCATCTATTCCCTTGTTCATCATACACCCTGTGTATGACAAAGGTTCTGCTGTAGTCTTATACATTCCCATACTGTACTTTCCTATCCCAGAGCTGTTTCTGAAGAGATGATCCTTGTCTTGTATATATATATATATAGAATATCATTATTATAAAAGAGATTGTGCAAAGCTCATATCCCGCATAGCCAGCTAATCGAGAAACCCGTCTATGCCTCAGCTGTGGCTAATACCAGGCTGTCTGCCATTGACCTCCAGGAAGCCTAGTCCCATGGGACACATAGCTCCCGTCCGGCATAATGACATATGTCATGTCACACAGATGACACTGGAGTTGGTGTGGCAATGGGTGATTATAAAATAGGTTAGTGGGGTGACTGTCACAGGAGCCCCAGTTCAACCAGATCACTCTGGCTACTCTGCCAGAGTGGAGAAGGGCTTGGTGAAGGCTGAGTTTCCATGAATCAGAAGCTATGGGTACAGGCTCAAAATAAAGAGGCCTTTACAGGGTATAAATGCTGGGGCTTAGTGAAGGGGTCCCAAGAAAGCTGCCATCGGCATGTAGAAAGACAGTGGTATTCTCCATGGTAGTAACCTTGGAAGCAAGGTGTGGTTGGGTTATACAAAAAGGTTGGGTATGTTCAAAAAAAATTTGAACAGCTTTGGAGATAATTAGCAGAGTTGGGCAAATCCACATCTGGAGTTGGAAAAGGAGGCATTTGTGAGTCAAGAAGTAGCATCTACAGCCGTAGGGAAGAATGAGAAGCCCTCAGAAGCATAGGAGGATGGAAAGAGACCATGGCATAGATGCAGGACGCCAGTCGGAGCGCTCAGAAGGTCCAACCAGGAGATGGGAATAATATACAGTATGGTGTGCTTATAACTAGCATGCAGGAGACTGTGGCAGGAAAACCACTTTGTTTGTAGGCTAGTCTGAGCTACAGATTAATAAATAATAATAATAAGCAGGGTCTAGGGAGGTGGTTCAATCAGTCAGTGTTTGTTATGCAATCATGAGGACTTGAGTTTGTAACCCCATTGACTGTGTCAAGAACTGGGTGGCTGGGTGCTGGGAAGGCAGACACAGGTGGGTCCCTAGAGCTTGATGGTGAATTAGTGATTCCAGGCCCAGTAAGAGACCCTGCCTCAAAATACTAAGGTGGCGAGAAATTGAGGCAAGATATCCAGCAAGCTCTCTGATCTCCATACATTTGAACATACTTGCGCATGTATATTTAGGTGAAATTTACATACACACAAGAGCACATATAACACATGCATATGCACACACCACTACCACCAGATGAGAAAAGGCAGCCAGGAAATAGCTGTCCCCATCCCATAAATAGCCATGAAGATCCGTAGCTGATTTATGGGATGGATTTGAAGAGTGGAGAGACACTGACCAAGGAAGCTGCAAGGTTGTAGATTTGTGCAATTAGACCTGTCATCCCTGAGGCGCATTAGAGAGGCAGTCAGCCTCCTGTAGAAAAGCACCCCACTGTGCTCTCACCGTGGGCCCCCGACTGTGCATTTTCAGAAGATCTCAATCCTCAGAGTCCATCATTTGAGCCCCTTGAGAAGCCATCACTTGGTCTAACTAGTTAATTCCCAAATCTTTATCTAGTTAGATATCATTATCTGGAACCAAATTACAGTAATTAAGTTGGTTTATTTTTATCGTGAATTTAACGAGAGAAAAAAATGTAATTAACAAAGTGTACTAGAGTAAGTAATTGGTTTCTCGCCACAGTTTTCATGTGTAACTTTCTTTTTTTTAACTCCTCAAAGCGAATCCTCCTCTTAAAAGTTGTGTTAGGAAGGAGGTTTTAATGAGCCTTTTATTGGTGACACTGTTGGATCGCGATGGACCCCGTGCTCTCGGACTCACGCCAATTAGAAGCATCCCGTTGCCAGGGAACCTCATGTTCAGGAGTGAGTTAGAGCATAAAGACGCTGGTGGAAATGTACTGAAGGCTGTGTTGAGCTTTTCTTGTGTGTGGTAGCGTACTGTCTTCCCAAACACCTTCTCAGGCGGGGGTGGGGCATGCTGGCCTGGATCGACCGGTGACAAGCTGTGCCACAACTGGTGGCAGAGCCCAGGTCCAGACCAGGGCCACCCTAATTCTGTGCTGTTCAGGGCAACACAGCAGCCCACAGACCTGGAAGTCAACCACACTCAAAGGCTTGCTTCTCTCTGTTGCAGATTAAGTTTAATAAAACCTCTGAAGAACAGGGGAGGTGGCTCAGTCCTAAGGATGTAGCATGCAAATGTGGGGGCCTGAATAAAAAGCTGGGTATGGTAGTGCATGCCTGTGATCCCAGCACTGGAAAAGAATAGACAGGTGGGTCCCTGGAGCTCAATAGCCAGTCTAGATGAACTGATGAGTTCCAGGCCAGCAAAAGACCTTGCCTTACAAAACAAGCTGGGTGGTAGTACACACCCTTAATCCCAGCACTCGGGAGCTATAAGTAAGCAGATTTCTGTGAGTTCAAAGCCAGTCTGGTCTGTATAGTAAGTTCGAGACCAGCCAGAGCTACATAGAGAGACCTTGTCTCAAGCAAACGAAGTGAACATACCTAAGAAATGACACCTGAAGTTGACCTCTGGCATCCACATGCATGTGCACATAGGCATGTAAGCACAGACACACATACACATGTGCTCACATGAACACATGTGCACAAGAAAGAGTGAAAAGCATCAGTGCACTGGAATAATTTCTTGGGCTCTGGATGGAGGAACTGGGGAGCGGACATGGTGAACAGCTGGTCAGGATGTTCTGAGTCTGTTGGTTTGTTGTGAAAGGCACACTCCCCGGTCAGTCCCTTCTTATCTGCAGGAGTCAGCTCCCCTAGGCAGGGATGGCCCACCAAGGCTAGCAAGCCGCTAGCTCATCAAAGCATTGGAATAAAGACACACTGAGCATTAGGCATGAGGCTTAGCACAGGGGGCTTGCTTAGCATGTACGAGGCTCTGGGTTCTCACACAGCAATTAAAAACCATACCAAACCCGAATTCCTCCGAAGACTGTCAATCAAACTGAGCTTCATGCTTCTACACTGAAGCCAGTGGTTGAGTGTGTTAACCGTACAGAACCTTAAGGCGTAACCACAATACGGGTGAGACGCTGGGTTCCAACCTGAGCAACAAAGAAAATAAAACACAGAAAAGATCTTTTTATTGTATTATTTATATATTTATTTTAACTTTAAAAATTGAGATTATAATATAATTACATCATTTCTCCCTTCCCTTTCCTCCCTCTAAACCCTCCCATGCAGCCTGCCTTAATGTCTTACAAATTTATAGCCTCTTTTTCCATTAATTATTATTCACACACACACACATACATATCCTTAAGTATAACCTGTTCAGCCTGTATAATGTCACTTGCATGTTTTCAGAGCTGACCATTTGGTAGTGGATTACCAACCGGTGTGCTCTTCCCCGGGGGAGACTATTTCTCCTGCTCTCTTTAGTTGCCTGTAGTTCTTTGTGTAGGGTTGAGGCCTCCTGGGCTTTCCCCTGTCCACTTTAACTGTTGCTGGTGCCCTTGTTCAGCTCAGGTTTGGTCAGCACACCCAGGGACTAGAGAGGTGGTTCCGTGAGTTGCAGGCCATCTGGGACTACATGGCTAAGAGTATTTGCTGCCCTTGTGGAAGTCTAAGGGTTACTTCCCAGCACACACCAGTCAGCTCACAACTGTGGCTCCGGTATATCTGACACCCTCTGCTGACCTCCATGGTGATGGGCATGTACCCCCCCCCCCCCGCCCATAACACTTCATTAAAAATAAAACAGAATTTGAAATAAAATAAACTTGCCTGTGAAGACTTGAGTTAACACCGTCCTTGGCCAGTCAAGAGAATGCCAGAGTGACTTTGTGTTCCTTAAAGAAAAACTCAGAGAAGCTGGGTGGCGGTAGTGCACGCCTTTAATCCCAGCACTTGGGAAACAGAGGCAGGCGGATCTCTGTGAGTTCAAAGCCAACCTGATCTACAAAGGGAGTTCCGGGACAGCCAGGGCTATACAGAGAACACCTGTCTCAGGAAAAGAGAGGGGGAAGGAAGCCCAGAGGTCTCCTTGTGGAAGAGGAAACATTTTTATTGTGATATTTCCTGAGATGAGAGACCTGCTTCTTAGAGAACACAGATATTTGGCCACAGTGACATGCAAGCCTCCCCAAAGTCACCTGCCACTATCCTCATCACTGATGGCACTTCATGTTGGCAATTATGTGCCATCCGGCCATCACCCTGTCCGCAGCCAAGCTCACCACTGGCACACTTTCTCCCTTAGTGCATTGTTGTGATTTATGGGATGTACAGCATGGCAAGTATCCGTGGAGTAATCCTAGCACTGTATCCAGATGCTTGGTGTCCCACATAGCTACCCTTCCGTGGGCATAGAGAAGGGGCGTGGCTTGCACCGCATCTTCCCACTGGTGTGGACTCAGGCCTATCTGCATCATGTCACAGTCTTTACATGTTTCTTTCTGTCCACACTGTGATTCATCCTCACCGTGAGAAGCTATGGGAGTCGGGGCTCCCCATCCCACTGCCCCTCATCGGCACATTGTTTGCTTTCCTGAGCCTTCCCCATCCATGCGTATGTGGTGATTTTTAAAGACCCGCACACACTCCTCATCCTGTTGTCCACACCTAGGGTGATCTACTGAGGATTTTTTCATGCTAGCAAAATGTCTTACAAATAGTCTCAAGATAATGCGGTGCTTTTTCATTTTAAGGAGTTGTTATAGTACATACATCTGCTGGTTACTACTGAGATGTTAGGCTATGTGTACCCTTTTCGGTATTTTATATAAGGCCATAGAGAGCAACCTCGTGAATAAAGTATTCAAATGCAGTTGTTTCCTAGAGTTGTGAGTAACAAGGTCAGAAATGGCCGCCACCTTGTGTTAAATGATTCAGGTAGAGTTGTATTCATCCTGGCCTCAGTAAAAGTATTCTGGGGCAACAAACCTAATGACTAACTTCAAGAGGGTTTTAGACATAACAGCAGCCCCTTGGGGAGAGACTGCAAAGGGAGTGACTAGCCAGGAGGCTACCACTGTTTGTACAGTGGGTGAAGAGGTGGGTACCTAGGTCACAAATGACACACCACAGCAATGCCTTATTAACTGTGTCCACTACCTGACAGCACCATCTGGTATGAGCTCCACGCCAGAGAGTGGCCATTCAAGACTCAACCAGCAGAGGCAATAATTTGGCAGATGGGTGCAGGCATGAAACCCAACCTCAGCCAGATTGGCATGGGAAAAGAAATCTCGGTAAGTCTCATGAGAGGCTGTGTCTGGGGGACAAGGAGAGAAGCAGACACAGTCCTGGGATTTCTTGGTCCTGTGTGTGACAGCTATAGAGGCTTTCTCAGAGAGTGACTTGCTTGGAGCTTTTAAGGCAAATTTAGGGCAAATTCTCAGCACTATGCCTGCAATTCCAGGTACGTGCCACCAGGGGTGCAGTAACACTTGGTCGCCTCCTGGAAATGGATTGCTGTTTCAGATAAAAATCAGCAAATACCTGGTTTGATATTTTTAAAAAAATAGTTATTAAAATATCACAAACAGGATTATCACTTATTTTTACTTACGTCCAACAATAGTATTAAACCATTGTCTAACTCAGAGTATGCTAGACAGACACCAAGAAACCTAATGACAAATGAGTACTCTTCCTCTTTAACACAATGGGGAGAATCCTCTCTTTTGGTCAGAAGACAGGTAAGTTGGGGAAGCAGTAGTTCCCTCAGGTGTTCAACATGACCACTTGCCCTCAGGCTCCTCTTCCTGGACAAGAATATGGTGAAAATTAGCCTCTCTCCTCTGTAACTTTGAGGGGCATCTGCTAATCGAATGGGATGTAGCTAGAGACTTTAGGATTTCCTTCTATCCCTCACTTTCAAGAAAAATGTCAAGAAACTCTGTTGATCTTCTATTGGTCTCCATATATCTCAGGCCCCCTTGCCACGAGCCTCCCTAGATTACTAGAATGGCTAATCAAGTAATGAGAAGGGGGAGCGAGAATGGGGGATAAAGTGAATGGGTGAGTAGCTAGATGGCAGAAGAAGAAAAATAAGTGAATGTATGAGGATTCATGCTTTGTGGACAGTAGCTAGATGGATAATTGGATGGAATCTTGTGTGGATGGGGAGTGATAGATATCTGGTGGTGAGTAGATGATAGATAGATAGATAGATAGATAGATAGATAGATAGATAGATGACAGATAGATGATAGATAGATAGATGATAGATAGATAGATAGATAGATAGATAGATAGATAGATAGATAGATGACAGATAGATGATAGATAGATGACAGATAGATGATTGATAGATAGATAGATAGATAGATAGATGATAGATAGATGATTGATAGATGATTGATAGATAGATGATAGATAGATAGATGATTGATAGATGATTGATAGATAGATGATAGATAGATAGATGATAGATAGATAATTGATAGATGATAGATAGATAGATAGATAGATAGATAGAAGATAGATAGAAGATAGATAGATAGATAGATAGATAGATAGATAGATAGATGAGAGAGTGGACAATTTATATGTGTATGAACGGATGGATGGTAAGTGAAGAAGCATGGGTTCATGTGGATGGATGGATGAATGGATGATGTATTTTGGTGAATGGATGGTGGTGTGGATGGGTGATGGATGAATGATAGTTACTAGATGAAGGATTAATGGTTGAGTTGATGTGGATGGATGTATAGATAGTAGACAGATTGATGGATGGATGGGTAGGATGGCTGTGTATATAGTGAGTAGGTGGGTGGTAGTTAATGAGTGGATGGATGGGTGGGTGGGTGGGATGTCTGTACATATGAGTGGGTAGGTGGTTGGTAGCTAACAACTGGATGATGGATAGATGGTTAGGTAGATGGGTGGATGGATGGATGAATGTGTAGATGGGTAGATGGGTGGGTGGGTGGGTGGGGGTAGTGACTACTGAGTAGATGGATGGATGCTGAGTAGGTGGATGGAAGGGTGAATAATGGAGGGATGTGAAGTAGGCAGAAGGGTGGACAGATGGCCAGCCCCAGAGCAATGCCCAGGTACTGAGGCTTAGATGAGGACTCAATAAAGTCCCTACTTAGGTCCATTCATGGCTCACTGGTTTCTTCTAGGACATCCTGCTCTTCTGCTGGGCCTTTGAACAGGAAGAGCGGCCCACCTTCACCAAGCTCATGGACATGCTAGAGAAACTGCCAAAGCGAAACCGCCGCCTGTCGCACCCCGGGCATTTCTGGAAGTCTGCAGAGTATGTGTTCTCCTCCATACCTCCCCCACTGCCTTACCCTTTGACCTTTTACCCTTTGATCTTTGTCCCCTTTTTGGTCTCCTCCTCCAACCCTTTCCTCAGCCATGCCACTCCACATACCCAGCACCCAAGTACCCCACTTCTCTACCAACATCTGTTTAGGGGAGCCCGTAATGGCACTCAAGTCTGCTTGTGACTGGCACAGTGACCTCTGACTTATTTCTTCCCGATGACAGATGATGTCTCAGTCTAAGCAGCTGTTGTGTGACTGGGGGCTCCTCTATGAAACCTGACTGGCAGGGCCCCTCTTACCTGGGTCAGCACCTGCCCCCTTCGTGGCAGATCTCAGCTCCCATCATCCTCCATTGCAAAAGTCTGAGACAGGAAGGGCTCCCAGCTATTCATCGTCCTCTGCAGCGGCTTCCTTCTTAGGAAGGTCCATGCCCCTCCTTGCCATTGCCTTAACTGTAGATCCATTGCTTTCCCAAGACCAGGAACGTACATCTCACCCCACAGTCCCCTCCCTAAGCCTGCCACCATGATGGCTCTCCCTGGAAGCTGAGAGGGAGGCTGCTGAGGGGGCCCCATTTCCTATTGACGTCCTGGGTACTCCCACAAGCTCAGGTATGCACACACATGTGAACACAGACTCCACAGAAATCTACACACATACATACACATACACAAGAGAGAGAGAGAGAGAGAGAGAGAGAGAGAGAGAGAGAGAGAGAAAGAGAGAGATGCGCTCAGTTATACGCAATCCGTTGGCTTCTCTGAGCTACAGTTTCATGCTCTGAATGTTGAGGGCAGTGAAACCCATAGCAGGGATACTGTGAGGCACCTCAGACAGCCAATGTTCACTCTGCCCTGGCTACCACTGTGTGCCAGGAGTGGGTAACAGCCTTGGACTGGCAGCCTGGTAACACTTCGAGTCAGCCATGAAATCACCAGGCAGGAGGCAGCTCATGGGTGTCACTCTGCCTTCTAAGAGTGCCCAGCTTGTCTGGGGCTGTAACACTCAGAGGTCCTTTGGGCCAGCACCCAGTGGCCCCTGGGCAGATGGGCTTGAACTCACTGATGGGGTGAGGAGGAGGCAGGAAGCCTTGTGTTCTAGACACAGACTGAAGAGACTAAAGGTACAGGGTAAGTTGTGGTCCTGTGTCCCATGATGCTAGAAATCCTGTGGAATTTTCCATTACATTGTATCGTGATTTCTCCTGTGTGTGTTGAACTCCTGTGGTGGAATCAGAGCCCATGCTAAAAGGGACATGTGTGATCATGCAGGTCTGCTCTCCCATCAGTGGTCAAACTTGTCCAAGCCTACACACTGGACTACCAGCTGTCATGAGCAAGTTCTGTGTTCAAATCTTGGCCCTGATGTTTCTTAGCTGTGCACCCATAGGCAAACCACATAACCTCCCTGATCCTCAGCTTTGATTTGAAAAAAGGATACAAAATGCACACAGCTAAACCCCTCCAGGCTAGGCCACAGTCAGTCCAGAGTCCAATGTACAGTAGGGCCTTCATCAGCAGAAGCCCCTTCTGCTTGGAAAAGACAGGAGCCCACCGGAAGTCACTCTCTGACAAGATGTTAGCATACAAAAGATGGCATGATGGGACCCACATCTTTCTTATCCACCCTTTCTTCTCTCTCTCTTCCAGACTGTGACCATGGACATGGGCCAGCATCACCCCCAAACAGCCTCTTCTTCCCTGCTCTGCCCTCTGCCACCTCAGGAGGCCCAGGCTCGCCACCAGGGGAGTCCCGACACAGGCCAGCCTGGGAGACCCATGTGATGACGTGAAGACCACGGAGGCTGACAGCATCTTGGACCTGCACCCCTTTACTCAGGCAGTATCAGGGACCCCTGAGCTAGGATCAGACTGGACCAGTGAGGCTCCAGTGCAGGTACAGAGAGCCGCTGACTGAACACCACCCCTCTGGGCTGTGGAGACAAAGGCACACGGCCCTGTGGACAGACTCTCTCACAGGACCCTGCGCGCACATGTGTCTACGTGTGGACGGGGCCTCCAGCTTTCTTTGCACCCGGACAAGCCTGCCCAGCTATGGAGTGTCCCAGCTGTGCTATCCCAGAACACAGGACAGGGATGGAAGCAGGAACGACAGGCCTGCTCCCTTGAGTCAAGGCTCCCAGGTCAATGTCAGAGTGCGGAGAGGTGGACTAAGCTTGTGAACCTCTGTTTTCAGAGGCCCCATTCCAAGCTGGAAGTGACTGCTAGCCCCTGGGTGCACAGCTCCAAAGGACACTAGGCAGTTCTCTGTGTATTTTTAGCACGGGGGTCTCCCTGGGGACCTTCCTTTGGCTTCACCTTCATCCTGTTTTCTAAGAACATCCTGACTCAACTCACTGCCCACCCTTGCCTGGGCAACTCGAGAACACCATAGCTTCTCAGCTGATAGGACATCTGGGGGGTCCTTTATAGCGGGCCGTCATTCATGGCACCCCCAAAGTCTGAGGCCTGAGAACTGGGGCTGTGGGAAGAGGGTTCTGGTACATTCTCTTCGGCGGCGTTGACACTGCTGGAGTTGGTTCTTTCACGGTGATGGATACAGGTCCTGGGTAGGCATAGCGGGCTGCATGGGTGTGCGGGTAGCTGTTTACAAAGGTCTTCCTGACTCTCACCCGCTGCGTTCGAGTGGGGAAGGCATGTGTGGAGTTTCCGTGGTCTAAACTCTGGCCTGGTGCTGAGTCCTCTGAGTGGATTCCCCACTCAGGGCTCTGTGGCCCTGTGCCGCCCACCTATTCTGCCCACTCAGCCCATCTGCCATGTCGTCTTTCTCTCCCCGCTGGAGATGGAAGCTTTTCTGGTCTGTGTTGTTCTGCCCCACCCCTCCCCCACCACAGAATCCCTCCTGAGGGATACTGAGAACAGGTGGTATAGAGTGAACAGAAGGGAGTGCCTTGAGGTTATGGATTCATGTTTGCAAAGCCCTGTCCCCAGTGATCAGACTTGACACCAGAAGAAAAGCTGTCCCTAAGCAGAGAACTAGCAGAGGTAGCAGGATAGAGAAATTTAGCCAAGCATCCAGAATCGCCCTCTTCCTTGGTGGCCCTATTGGATGCACACCCTGGGGCCAAGCCTGCTTACAAAGCAGGAAGATTGATTGACAGGGGTCACACTTCAAGGGAGACTTACCATATGGCACCCTCAAGCCTTCTGCAGGGCCTGTTCTCAAACCCCATTGCAAAGCTCCCTCTACCTGTGTCAGGGGACCTGGGGCCCCACACAAAGCTGCTTCCATGTGAACATCTCTATCCTGGTGACATCTGTGTCTCTGTCTCGGCATTCATGCATCTTGGAGACATTTTACACACGTTCACTTATGTCCCAGGGCTCCGATATCTCTAAGGACCACTCTTATCAGGAGTTGCGTCCTCATCTAAGAAGCCCCCTCCAGAACCCATCCTTGTGGTCAGGGCTGCACTGAGACCTGCCCCAGCAACATACTAAACACCTAGAATTTAGTTCCTCCTTTCTCTTTAATCAGATCAGGACCTCTTTGGTCCATAAAACTCCAGTCTGTCACACACCTTTGTATCAAGAGAGGAAGTAAGAGAAGAGAGGGCCAGGGAAGGCTGAGCCACTGGGAACCAGAAGCGTCACTAGGCGCTGGAAGACACTCATCTGCTTCCGCTGTTTGCCAATAATGACCCAGTAGAGGCCAGAGAGGGAGATTTCTTCACAGGTCCAGGTTCCCCAGGGAAGTCAGAGGAAGGCATCTCTTTACAGGGAGCAACTGACTAGTCACCTAGCTCCCAGGGCTCTGTCCTGCTCTGTGAAGGATCACAGACTTAAAGAAACAAAAGTGTGGTGCCAACCTGCCTGTAATCCTGGCACTGTGGAGGCTGAGGCAGGAGGATAACAAGTTCGAGGACAGCCTGGGCTACATAGGATTTCTGAAGACCCATTTGTGATTAAGGACTTGATTGGTTCAGGGAGAGCCCCAGCCTTCTTGGCTCCTAAGTCACTCTTCCGCTTACGGTACCTGGGTCCCTTGAGCCCAGGTCTGGGTCAGGTGTCTCCTCTTCACTCTTGCTCCTTCCTCACCTCCACATCCACTGAGACCTGTGCCTCGGGTCAGGTTCCATCCTTCCCTGGCTTCCTCCCTTCCTCCCTTAGCAGGCCCTGGCTTGCCAGTAGCTTCTTAATGTGCAAACACTTAAATCCTGAGACAAAGAACTTCAGTGTCTTCCCTGAGGAAGCGTCTGAGGCTGGTCTGTTCCTTTACCCTGCGCTGAGCCGAAAGAAGAGAGGAGGCCGTGGAGTTAGATGCGTTTCCCCTTTAACTGCAGGCCCGTCCAGCACCTCACTCTGTACAGCCACACAGCTACCCACTCCACTAACATCAAATGGCTTCTGCCCCTGCCTCATGTTGCAGATCTTCAGGGCACAGGTTTTTAGAGGTGACAAGTCCATTCTAGCCTTGTCTGGAGACATCTCCTCTGTCTCCATCCCCAGAGCTAAGCCAGAAACTCCAAGGGGCCCCTTGGATTGCTCGGCCCATGTTCTCTCTTACTGGTCAGAGGGGGAGAATCGACCTGTCCAGTGCTCAGTCCCCTTGTTCTCTGTAGCATCTTGACTTCTTGGCCAATAGCAAAGCTAGATGGGTGTTGCTAGGTAGGTGGCTATATTCAGGATACTTAGGTCAGGAGGTGGGTAGAGTGCTTGTCTAATACCACAAAGCCATGAGTTCCATCTCCAATAACACACAAACCAGATATCATGGTGCATGCATAAGTTCCATACACAAGAGTTAGCGGCAGGGGCATCAGAAGTTCAAAGTCATCCTTGACTATATCGTGAGTTTGAGACCAGCTTGGGCTTCATAAGACCTTGTCTTGAAGAGGATTTTTTTGTAAATTTAGGAGACTTGCCGCCTCCCATCCCATGTTCACACACTGCATAGCTCCCCAAATATGCACAAATCCAGCCTCCCCTCATCTCCCATAGCCCTTGTCCCTAGCTGCACATGGTCACCTGAGGTGCACACATCAAGCAAGTGCCACACACTTAACCTGGGGTCATTGAGCTCCAGGCTGCAAAGTGGTTTTTACATCCTTTGTAATGGAGGATGAAAAGATAGTCTAAAGAGGAAAAATATGACTCAGGAAAATTCAGTGCAATTCAGATTTCCCATCGGTCCCGTATTATCCCCAGCAATGACAAAATTATTTGCAAGAGAGACCCTGGAACCCATAGAGTCAAACTATATTGTTGCTTGGTCAGGGGCCAACATGGCTGACTTACGAGACAGGGGGCTGTCTTACTGATGAATAAACCAACTAGAGTAGAAGGGGCCGGAGGCTGTGGGAAGCAGCCTACAGGTGCAAAAGCTGAGAAGGGACAGGCAGCGTCTTGGCCATGGCCAGGCGTTGTGTCTGCCAGCACCGTGAATCAAGCCCTTGAGGCTATTGTGAGCTATCAGATGTGTCAACTGTCACCCACAGACTGCCTGCACCCCACAACAGCTGTGAATGTGAGCAGCGCATGGAAAACATTAAGGGGTTTTGTTTTGTTTTGGTGTTGTTTGATGGCTTCCTTTTTAGGCATCAGAGGTGCAGGATGCCTGGCTAGCTGGACTTCAAGGCTGACTTGATCAGCCAGCAATGTTAGTACAGACACAGGCTGGCTTAAACAACACACACTCATTTCTCCCAGATCTGGGGTGTCTCTGCTGTGCCTTCTTGCCATCTCTTGTCTCTAGTGTCTTTTTTTTCTATGATTAATAAGAACACTGCATTTCTCCTTGCTTAGGGTCCTACCCCTCTGACCTCTTCAAAGATGCTTTCTGTGGGTGTGATGTTGAGGGCTTCCCCAGGAGATGCTGGGGAAAGACTCAGCATGAGCGTTGTGGGAAGTCACCCTTCAGTTCTGTACCAAGACCCTGGAGGTAACTGAGGCCGTGGGTTTCAATACCTGCAGGCCTCCCGTCTCTGGCTTTTTGTTCCCACACTGGCCCCCAGCTTGAATTCTCAAACAGACCCTTCCTGTCTGTCTTGCCGGTCTTCATTACACTGTCCACCCTTCTGGCAACTGGTCTTGTTGCCTCTATGTTGGCGTCTGTGACAAACTACCACACACCAAGAGGCTTTTCACTATCCTGTTGGTCCAAAGTCCAAAACAAAATGTCCATCCCATCGGAACTCGCCAGCATTTGTTTGCTGCCTCCTGACACGTGCTGGCACGTGATGAATTCAACACCCCTTGGCTTGTGGGAGCACCTCTCCAGCCTCTTCTTTTGTCCCCACTGGCCACACTGGTCTCCTTGCATCTCTACCTTTGTGTGGCTCTTCTATGTGGTCCCAGTCCTGATGAACCAGGACACTGTGTATGCATTACTTTTCTTGTGACTCTAACCAAATGCCTCAGAGAAGCAGCATAAGGGAGGAATTATTATATATTTTGACTCACAGTTTCAGAGGGTTCAGTCATCTGTGGCTGCCTGGCTCTGTGTTCCTGGGCCTGTCTTGAGGCAGACTGTGATCGTGGTGTGAAGGTGAGGAGGGGGAGCATGTTCATCATGGTGGATGAGGAGGGGGGTTCCTCATGGCAAATAGGAAGGGGAGAGTGAGAAAGAGCAATACAGGGAGGGGTCAGGGTAAAATGTCTCATGGCCATGTCCCCACCGGCCCACATCCTTCAGCTGGGACCCACCTCCTGCCCTTGAGTGTGGCATTGTGAATCCATCAAGGGCCTCATAGTAGATTACGTCAGAGGTATTGAACTGTCTTCAGAAACATCATCACAGACCTCACACCCAGAGGTGCCTCGCTGATCCCTTGAAAAATATCTTTTAATTCTGTCAAGTTGACAGTCAAGGTTACCTATCACATCCCGTTACTCAAGTGTGACCTCACCTGAAGTAATTAATACACCTGTGTGACCCTGCTTTGAATCAGGGCCCATCAGGAGGCCCCAGGACACGACTCACATTCTAGCACCCCCCAGTAACCCTCTTATGTGTGGAGGTGTCACCATGGCTCCCCCAGACAGATTTCCCAGAACCCCTGGGCTACTTCTCAGTCCTACTCAAGACGCCATGTCCTGTCCTTGAGTCCTGAAAGTCATAGACTTAGTATGTGCTTGGTAAAAATGGGCCATGTGGGCGCAGCAGTAAGCTCATTGGGATGAGGCCTAGAAAGATCTGTGTATAATAGATCTAGAAGAATGAAGATCTAGACCAAAGAGAGTGAATGTGTAATGTCTCTAATTAGGGAATTTAACAAGCTGGGAAAGGATTCTTTCCTAGTAGCCGTGTAGCTGGTACCATTTAGTAAACTGTTTGATTCTTGAAGAGAATCATTTATTCTCTAGGACAGCTTCCCTACCACAAAACAGCTGGACTTGGTAGCCCCAAAGATGGACACCAGGAAAGATAGCTGCAGGCATACTGGTAGGCTCAGGAGCAGGGAGAAGGTATGAAGTGCAGCCAGGAAAGTCAGGATATGTGGTGTAAGGTGTTGAGGAAAAAGAACCTGACCTTAACTGCCTTTTGGTCTCTTGCCTGTATGAGAAACTCAAAATCAAGTTTTAACCCAAATAGCCTCTGAGGTCCTAGCAGACCCCAAATTCGCTCTCCTCCTGAACCCTTAAAATGCTGCTGATACCAATGTGGTGACCAGTAGGACCTTGCTTGGGCCACCTCTTCATCTCTTGCCCATGTGCTGAGGAAGAATGAAAAAGGAGCCATCATGGACTTAGCCTAAGTGAAATCTGTAGAGTAATGCCCCTCTCCTGGGAGCTGGCAGCTTTTGTTCGTGGCTATGGGAAATTCACATATGGATTCCTAGATTTGAAAGTCTGATGGTTTAAATTAATACTTAGTTTTCTTTTCCATGACTTCAAAGGAAAATTCCCAGCCTGGCTATTTTCTTCATGTCTTAAAATGCCTTGACTTCTCTCCATCAGCCACTGCAGGTGCCAGGATAGGAGGAATGCTAGGTCCAGCATTGCAAGAGGGGACTCTGCCATGACAGGCCATGCCCAGGAAACAGCCCATCACAAAAATAGATGTCTGTGATATACAGAAGACTAGGGGGCCTCGCAGGGGCCATGAGTGCACATGACTGTGGGCAGTGGTCCATGCATGGAGGTGAAGCTGAGGTCTGAAGGAGGAGGAGGAGGCAGGAAGGTCAGACTGACCGAATTAGACATCTATTAATCTTGGCACTGTTGACCTTAGACCTAGTCACTTCTTGGGTTCCTGTTATAGCCCAGGCTAGCCTCGAACCCTTGATCTTCCTGTCCCTGGTGGAGAAACAGCCACTAAACAAAGTAATAGAACGTGACAGCTCTGTCCCTGATCTGGGTGTGGCCGATGGAAAAGTCTCCGCATCACGTCTCTAGGCAGATCCAGGGGAGCCGGCGGCCCAGAACTGGAGGAGCAGATAGAGGGGAAGTGGGCACTGTAAGAGACTGGAGCTTGGTGAGCACTTTGGAATTTGACACATGTGGCCACCAAGTGCCTCCTGGGATAAAAGCTGGGCCACTGGGACTCTGTTCCCTGAGGGTCAATGAACCCCATCCTCATTCTGCCCAGAGTGGAGCATTGGATTTATGGGTGTCTCTGCTGTACATGGGTTAGTCACCGGCCCTTCTCCTTAAAGCCTGCCCTTGTCTGCTTTGGTTTCTCCGTCATGCTCTCCCACCACCGCTCGTACAGAGCTCTGTTGTGTCCGCCATTGACCCGCAGACCCAGAGGGACACACTAGAAAGTCCCACCACAGATAGTCTGGCTGTCTGGCTGTGCCCCCTCCTCTGGACATTGTGCCTCACTCCACACGGGGGCCACTGGAGCACTGACATCAAGGACACACAGGAACGTGGAGACGAGTTGATGGAAGGACTCCCTCACACCCTACGTAATTCTCTAGAGAAATGGGCAAAATGCTGATTTGTTATCGAAGAGGTTGACATAAGCCAGGGGCCATAGAGACTCCCAGACTGAATCTGTAATGGGACCTAAAGTGTAGCAGAGAATGCATTAGCTCTCTCGGTAGGTGGGGTTTTTTCCGTTGAGACACAGAAAACAGCACCTTGGCCAGCTATAGAACTCTCTTGGGTGGGGGCGCTCAGATCTGTTTCTCCAACTCACACTTCTCTCTCTACTTCCTCTGGCTGACTGTGACCTCGCCAACAATCTCTGTGTCCTGGGCTCTGCAGGGGCATGCTTTGGATTTTCGTAGCTTTACAAAGCCCTTAACCCTCCATCTTTGCTGGTCCCATGTAGATGGCTGCTGCTGTCCATAAACAGCGGCTCCTTATCACCCTAGTCTCTGACATCTCGAAACCCAAGTGAACGCCTCATCTCATAGCGTACCTCTCAGGATACTCTGGGCACTTGCAGCTGAGACAGAGAGATGGTAGGTTTCTCCCACCCATTTAGATGCTGATGACCTGGGGACAACTGGATCTCCCAAGGAACAGCTTGAAACAGCTTCCAGGTACAAGGGGTTGGCAACCTAACAGAGGGAACTGAGAAATCTCCAGAAAGACCCTTCCCTGACCATCAAGGCCTTTGTAGAAGCAGGAAGCTTTCCTTCCTGTCCCACAGCCCCAAGGTCAAAGCCAAGGCCGTCACTGGGGACACACAAGTCTGGCTCCACAGGCAAGCAGCCTTGCTATGGCAGGCCAGACTCTGCAGCCCACTTTCCCACTCCAGATCTGTTGTTCCTACTTTCCTGACTTTTGGTCTTTCATGGCGGTCTGCTCTACAGACCTTTCTGTCGCATGTCCCAACAGGTGGACAGCTCTCCAAGTCACCAACTTGAGGAAAATCCCTCGTTGTAAAAAATGGCTTTCTTTGTAAATTACTCTGTTGTCTTTTTCTAAACAAAGTATATATACCTATAAATGCTATATATATTATATATGTGTATATATATAAAGACTAATTCTTGTACAGCCCTCTGAGGACCTCAGGCCCACACTGTTTTCTCCATGTCTGTCTGTAATGACTGTTGCAGAATGAGCTGATGTATGACCTAGGCTTCCCATTTCCTTCTGGACCACTGTCTCTTCCTCTTTCTAGATCTGTGTTATTCTCTGTCTCTTTCACTTGTTGCCAACATGTTTCTGGGAAAGAATATTTGATTTAGATGCCATCCAAGAAAACAAGCAGAATGGGTGTATGGGTAAATGGATGGATGAATGGATGGATGGGTTTGGTGGATGGATGGACGGACGGATGGATAAATGGATGGATGGATGGATGGATGGGTAGGTGAGTGGGTGGATAGATAGATAGATGGGTAGGTGAGTGGGTGGATGGATGAATGGATGGATGGACGGATGGACAGCTTAGTAGATGAGTAGATGGATGGGTGAATGGTTAGATTGATGGATGTGTGGATGGGTGAGTGGGTGGATGAATGGGTAGGCAAATGGGTAGATGGGTAGGTGGATGGATGGATGGATGGATAGATAGAGGATGTATGAATGGGTTGATGTTGAATTGATGTTGGATGAAAGGGTGGGTGGATAGGCAGGTAGGTAGATAGCTGGATGGATAGGTGGATAGACTGATGGATTGGCAGACGGGTGGGTGGATGGTCCACTGTGTATATTTGTACAGATCATTTATAAAGTTTTCTACACTTCTCAAAAAAGTATTTCTAACCTGGGCTGTTGGACAGTCTGTGAGCTTGTGAGCCGGCAAGCCTGTTGTTTCTTGTGTTTAGTGCAATGTTTAGTGAGAATCCAATGTCTGAGTTATTTATGCCAATAAAGAATTTGAGAATTATTGCATCAACTGCTGTCACTACGGGTCTGAATTCTGCTGTTGTCTGTTGTGTCAAAGGAAGCCTGCGGGGTTGATGATGGTTGATAGCTCCCAGGCTGATACTGCGAAACAAAACTAACCCTACACCTTACAGCAATGAGAATTTATTGTCATGCACCTGGGCTGCGAGTCTAGGTTGGGCTCCTCTGAGAGGCTCTTTCGGGGCTTCTGGTCATGTTCAAGGTCAGACTGAAAGTCATTCCATATGTGTTCATATGGACATGAGAGCCAGACCAGAAAACACAAAAGTACACGCAGACTGTTGCCTCTAACCACAGCCACCAACACTCCACTGGCCAGCATTGGTCCGACAACCCAGCCTTTCACAGAGGGGTTGCAAAGTCCACCACAGCACAGGCTGGCAACGTCCACATGGGGAGCCACAAATATGCTTCTCTGGAAAGATGTATGTGGTGTGGACATAGCAATTCCCATGGCCACACTCATAGATGTGGCAGAAAGACCAGATATTGACACAGAATGTCTGCATGTCTTAGTCTTTCTCCACCCTATTTTTTGAGGCAGGATCTCTCACTGGACCTGGAAGTTTGCCCATCCAGCTAGTGTGGTCAGCCAGCTTGTCCTGGGATCCCAATCATCACTCCAGCCTCGAGACTGCAGTCTTTAGTCACTGCTTTTGAGCTATGCTAGGTAGGACCAGAGCTACGTGCAATTCAGGGAATCCTATTCCCCTCTCAGCAGGCAGGACTTCCAGAGCCTCTACGACCTGCTTGGCAGACGCTAAGGTTTTTCCATTCTGAACAAAGCACCAACTATTGTTCCCAAGCATGTGAGACTTTTCTTTGGCTCTTTCATATGCTACCGTCTGCCCTGGCCTTGGGAATGTCCTCAATCCCTGTTAGCATTTTGCTGAGGACACTGGGCAACTTCTGCAAACCATCTTCATAGATCCACTAGCCAAGAAGCTGGTCACCAGATACTAAATAGCCACTGTGTGCCGTCCATTCATACCTAACCCCTTCAATGACATTCTGAAGCTGGACAATCACTTGCTATCCTGGGACCAAGTCCTACTGAATAGCAGTGCTTCAGATCAGGATGGGGCTATTCTCAACTTACAACTGAGGAAGTTAAGGTACAAGGGCATTTAAGCTGTTGTGGCCAAGCCATGTTTGGGCCCCTAGAACTCTGGTTCCAACCAGTTCTGAGTCCTAAGCCTGTGGCTCATAGGGCAGCAATGAATTCCACCCCTAGGAAACGTGTGGGTGATTGTGGGGGAACTTCCCAGGAAACACCCTCTCTGAGACTACCTGGCCATACCCCTGTGAGTTCCAGTCACCAAGCCTTTTGCCATGGATGGTTGCTCCCCTTTGATGGCCATAGAACTGTGCAAAGCCCAGAGAGGTGGAGGGACTTGACGAAGATCACACAGGACTCCCATTTCAGTGTTCAGTATTCTTTCTCCTAAAACCCAAGCTGTGGTCAGACTCAGAACCTGCAGTAAGGAGGGACACACATGGGCCACGAGAGAAGGCCTGCGTCTCAGCAGGACCCTGAGTGCTCCCTGGCCACCTGGCCCGGCATGCTAGTGTTGTGAGGGAGAGAGAAGGTATCAGAAATGACAGTACGTGTACCACCCTGGTGTCCGTGGGCTCAGGACCACCTGACCATGGAGTGGAGGACAGCCTCCTTGGCTCATTCTCTCAGTCAGGAGAATTCTCCAGCTCTGCATTACTCCATGCGTGTCATCCGTGTGTTAGCCATGACCACATAGAGCCATAGGATACCTTCATCAAAGAAATCAAATAATGTCAGCTCTCCAGAAGCAGAGGCAGGTGGAGCTCTATGAGTCTCATACCAGCCTGGATTGCATAGTTCAGACCCTCTCTCAAAGACAAAATCAAATAGAGTAAATATGTAAAATAATAAAATAATAATTTGTTGATAATTTTTGTACTGATTACATTTTGGCTCAAGCACTTGGCTCAATCATACTGGGTTAAAGCATATTGCCGTAATTTATTTATCTTTTTAATTTTTTTCCATGTAGGCTCTCTCACTCTGTAACCCACACCAGCCTTCTGGAACTCTATAGCCCAGGCTGGCCTCAAACTCTGCGCTCTCCTGCCTTAGTCTCCAGAGAGCCATCATCACAGGTGGGCTGCTCACCTGACTCCGCCTCAATTAGCTTCCCCTGCTTTACCCCTTTGGAAGTGTCTGGATGTGTCTGTGACTAGCAGAGCATAAAGAGTCGACCTCACTCTGCTGGAGGCTCCGATTAGAACCAACAGTAATAGATGTGAGTTCAGGCAGGCTGTGTGTATCCCTGGATCCCCACTCCCTGACCAGACCCCTCACTCCCTAGCAGCTAGCGTTGGAGTGGAGTGTCCAGGCTCCCTCTGCCCAGCACACCAAAAGGACTGATAACCTGTGCTAGGAGCAGGCAGCTTCTACTCTCAGGTTCTTCCTCCCAGTATAAAAACTGAAGCGATTGGCAAGTGCCCACTCCTACGTGGATGCAGGGTCAATGTCATCATGACTATCATTAACACCTACGATGATTACCTAGTCAAAAGTGCAGCCCTGAAGCCACTGTGGTGATACACTCTGGTAATCCCAGTGGTCAGGACGGGGGAGCAGAAGTTCAAGGTCATCCTTGGCCATAAAGAAAACTGGAGGAGCAGTGCAGACACTACGAGAGACTTACATAGATCTAATCTATATGAGAAGTAGAAAGTAGAAAATGACAAGATCTCCTGAGTAAATTGGGAGCATGGGAACCTTGGGAGAGGGTTGAAGAGGGGAGGGGAGAGACAGGGAGGGGAGCAGAGAAAAATGTAGAGCTCAATAAATATCAATAAAAAAAAATTTTAAAAAAGAAAGAAAACTGGAGGGCATCCTGGGATAAATGAAACCTTATTTCAAAAAAGAAAAATAGAAAAATAAAAATTAAAGATAACCCAAACACAAACAAAATAACCATCACAGGGCTGGAGAGACGGCTCAGTGGTTAAGAACACTGGCTGCTCTTCCAGAAGACCCAGGTTCAGTTCCCTGCATCCATGTCAGGCAGCTCCCAGAAGCCTGTATTTGCATCTCCTGGGGGATCCGACATCATCTTCTGGCCTCTGCAGGTACACACACACACACACACACACACACACACACACACAGCGGGGGGGAGGAGCATTGTGAAAGTGTGGCGTCCCAGAGGGGCTTCACCTGGGTTGAGCCCCACTGCCCGCCGATTCTGTTGAACTGGGAACAAGTGTGTGGATGACAGGTTGACCGCTCACTGGTGACATGCTTGCTCCGAGTTAGAAGGAACATTGGAAGCAAAGGTTTCAAAAGTCTGTTTTTAATAGGAGGCTTTTGCTGAGCACCTACAAGATGCCAGGCCTAGGGTGCTGTGGGGAAGAGAAAAACAAAACCAGAGCTCTGGCTTAGGGCTGGCCCGAGAGGGGAGAGCTTGGGAGGGGCAGTAAAGCACCTGCCCAGTGTGGGCGATGGCTCCAAAGATGTCAGTTGATGATATCCAAGCTCATTTCTGGAGGAAGGTAAAGGTCATCCGGCTTTTTGGAATCTCTCCCAATTTCTGGAATCCATAGTTGGATGGGAACGCTCCCTCTTACCAGGCAGCCTGCCTTGGGATTCTTTCTAGAATATTCTAGGGAGTTTGCTAGCGACTCCACCATCAGTCATCTGAGCCCGGGACCTTGTCATCGTTAGGTCTCCGTCTCCTACTCCATCACCTTCCTTGGGACCTGGCTCCGGCAGCCTCATGGCCAACAGCTGCTCCCTTCTTGCCTCCACCTGACAAGTCAGGCAGCTGAGTCACGGCTCATCTTCCCCAGTCCCACGTGGAGGCTGGGTCTGGGCCAAGGGTAGGAGCTACCAGTCAGGGTGCCCGCCAATCAGACCAAAATGAGCCCATCAGCTGCCCTGAGGATTAGACCTAAGAACCTTCTAGAATCCCACACTCCACTTTGGAGCTCCCGAGGGGGCAGACCACAGCAGACGGGCGTGTTATTCAGCCGCGTGTGGGGAAACCTGTCTTGCCTGAGGATAATGATACAGTAATTCCTCAACCGTCCAGATGATTGCCGGCCTGTCAGCTGCTGTAGCTCAGCACCTGGGAGAACTCCTAGTGCACAGTAGGCGCTCAAAACGGTCTTTTATTTAATAGGACGCAAACAACAAGAGATGTCTCAATCTGTCAAGCGTGTAGCCTAAATAATTACACCTTTTACTATTGATACACATGAATAGTAGTTTTAAAAGGATTGCACCTTCATTTCTGTCTACACCAGGTAAACACTGCTTACCCCTGCCCTGTATCCCCCCCCCCCGCGCACACACAGTAGGTGTTCAACAAATGCCACTGTGCGGAGACAGGTGCTGGGTAGGATCTCATTTGTTCTCTCATGGCTCGGGCAGGGAAGTGAGGTTCTCCAGAGCAGGATCTCAATCA